GTATCCACACTTGTCTTCTCTACCATTATATCATTGGGTCTTTCAATTTCTGTCATAGAGTGCAGGCATTTGGTATATATTGAGTGGGGACATACAGTGTTTGTCTTTCATAGCCTGGCTTATTTCACTTAGCATTAAGTCTTTTAAGTTCATCCACTTTGCATCTAATAACAAGGTCTCATTGTTTCGTATGGCTGGATAATATTCCATAGTATACATGTGCTGCATTTTTTCAATTCAGTCATCCATCCTTGGGCACTTGTGTTGATTCCATGTCTTAGCAATTATGAATAATGCTGCAATGAACATGGATATCCAGGGGTCTTTCCAATTGAGCATTTTCCCAGTGGGATTACTAGGTGAAATCGAAGTTCTATCTGTAGGTTTCTAAGGGACCTCCATTTTATTTTTCATAGTAGCTGTACCTATTTACATTCCTACAAGCAGTGTAAAAGGATTCCCTTTTTACCACAGCATCACCAGCAAAAAAGGATAACAAATAATATCCCAACATAAAATCTTACCCTGATGGACACTGTGGCTCATTAATGCTTTCACATGGTTCTTCTATCCAGCTTTGCTCACCTGAAACATTTTCAATAAATAAAATGAGCAGAACACACTGAACAACAATAATTGCAATACTTGTGAGATACATTAAAACAGATTCTAAAAACAAAATATTAATATATATATAGAAAACATGGACCATGACACAAGGGAAATACAATGATTAAAGGGAGTTTTCCTGTTTCAAAAAAACATGGACCATGACACAAGGGAAATATAATGATTAAAGAGAGATTTCCTGTTTCAAAGTAAGAGTTTCTTGGTTTTAGGAATAAAAAATGAATGTGTAATTCTAAGACTAAAACATACTACTGCATTTGGGAGAATCTGAAGGTATCACTTCCATTTTCAAACTGAATATTTTCATCCAAAGGTTACAACCCTCTTTGTATCTGTCCAACTAAATCTTTCATATTCTGATAATTTTTTTTTTCCCGCAGAGCAAGGCTCTGCTAAGGAATTTCAACAAACCCAGTATCTGAACAAGACATTTTATCAGTATCAGCTTACTAATAAATTCATCTTTTTAAAGTAATTTCACATCAACTTTCTCAACACATGGTAGAGATTGTCCTCATTTATGATGAGAGACCCTGGGACACAAAAGTCAACCAGGAATGGAGCAAGCAGGTGGTATGGTGGTTAAGGAGACTGGACTCCCACATGGTTGACCACAGTTCAAGTCCCAGACCTGGTGCCTGGTGACTGGCCTCTCTCTCTCTCTCTCTCTCTCTCTCTCTCTCTCTCTCTCATTCTGTCCCTCTCTGGTCAAATTAAAATAAATAAAGTTAAATGAAGTAATTATTTAAAAAAAAAAATAAAGTCAGCCAGGAATGAAAAAGTGTCCTTTCCACAAATATGGCATTAAGTATTTAGCAATTATCAAAATAATGTGAAGGGGTAGTAATAACATGAAGTGGTACGAGAGTGGATGGTTGTAGACAAAACAAGACTGGCTGTGTGTAAATGATTAATATTAAACTAATGACAGCTACAAAGTTCATGGTATTACATATTCTCTACTCATGTGTAAGTTTGAATTTTCTAATAAAATGTTTTAAAAGGTTTTTTTTTACTTCTAACGTTAGGGGTCTTTAAACATGTGTGCTATGAAATAACTAGGCATGGATTCTAAAATGTTTTTGCACCAAAATAAACTCATACCTTTGTTTGTATTCAATTTTTTGGCCAAGTTTCTAAAGTATCCTCATGTAACTGGTCAATAAATATGACTGCTAATATAAAAGGTAACACCTATGTAAAAACCAACTAAGACCCTGGAAGATGTCAAGCTGCCATAGGACTTGAGAACTGCCTAGAAGCCTGACCTTGACACACATTGCTGTAGTTGACGCAGCAGTCACCAGTGTCCTTGCAGTCATCTGAGCAGGCACAGAGGCTCCTGAGCAACCTTTTCTCGCCACACCTGAACTTGTTGCAAGTCCATATATGTTCTAGAAACAAACAACAGAAAGCACTTGAGGTTCAAATTCAACACACCCAAAGTGAGCACCAAATTGCTGTCTTGTGTAGGACCCGTGGGAGAACATGGACTATTTCATAACTCTTAGTCACAAAATCTGTCAATACCACAGTCACACTGACATAAAGCATGTAGACACCAACTGTTACTATTTCACTAAAAACCCAGAACTCTATAATTTTCAAACTTAGACATGTGTAATTATTATTACATAATACAATGCACGTATAATGAATTGGCCTGGCTTATTCCACCAGCCATTTTCAGGGTTCTCGAGATTTAATCTCAGTCTGACTCACACTCACTTTTATTTTTCTTTTCTGATTTCTTTTATTGTCCGAGGGTGTGTGCATTCACCAGGCAGAGACAAAGAAAGAGTGAGAGGTAGAAAGGATCCCTAGTGGAGCATGGTCATGCCATAATCACCTCTCTCTTTCTTCATCCTGTCAGGATCTGGGCACTCATACATATACCCAACACGTTTCCAAGGGGAAGGACTCTCATTGCAGTTGGTCATGTGGGATCTGGCTTCCTTAACCACTAGGCGTCCCATATGGAGCGTCCCATATTTCTATTGGAATATTATTTCATGGCATGCAGAAAAGTCCAAATCAAACATAAAAATTTTATGTTCTAATTTTATTTTTTTATTTATTTTTAAAGTTTGTTTTATTTTACTTCCTCCTTGAGGGAGAGAAGAAAGAGAGAGAAAGGAAGAGAGAAAAGTAAGTGCACATGAACAAGTTCCTCACACTGAAATTTCCCCCCAGCCTTAGCCAGCCTGGATCATGGGCACAAACACACACGTGCATGCCCAGCGTGTAGGGGGGAGTTTGTGGACAGGAGCCCAGGACCTCCCGTGTGTCCAGCATCACAGAATGTCACGTTACCACTGTACCACCCTCTGCATTACCACTGGCCTGCTAATGGATTTATTTTAACATGCAGTTGGACATCTAAAGACTCTTACTCTAAGTGTCCCAGAATGAAAATATTTACATATATTCAAGCAGAATTTTAGGACTTATTTACATGCAAATTAAACCACAAATATTTTTCAGCATATATTAAAAATAGGTAGCATTTTGTTTTACATTAAATGTTTAACGAAGGCAAATTATGTGACTTTTTTTTT